TAAGGGCTGAAGGATTGTGAGAGGTAAGTTAAAATTTCCTTACATGTCTGAACCTTAAGCTTAACACATGGGAAGGACGAGAGCACATAACAAAGGTGGTTGCATAGGGTGTTTCAATCCATTATGAGTGATTTCAGAGAGGCCGTGTGGCTTCCAGATTTATTAGACTCGCTCTAGGACGCATGGTGCTCAGATTCATGTCACCTGGAGCGCTGAAGGTTTCTGCACAGCTGAGGCTGGAGGTCACAAGCTCTCCCCAGACGAAAGATGGCCCAAGAAATATTGGACCAAGGTGGGACCGTGTTGTTACGCTCCTGGGCGTGGAAAAGGACAAACCAAATTTAATGCTCTTCTATGTAGATTTAAGTTTTATGTCTCATGCCAGAGGATTTTTGTGGAATAGAGTCCCTGGGCTTCATTCTAATTCATGTGGGTGACTAATTAGTGTTTATTGCTCACTTTTATTTTCTGGGAAGAGTTTTCTTCTGAAAATGCTAACATTTGGACTTTGATCTTTGGGGAATGGGTATAAAAACGCACTCTGGGGCTTCCCTGGTGGCGCAGTGGTTGAGAGTCCGCCTGCCGATGCAGGGGACACGGGTTCGTGCCCCGGTCCGGGAACGGGACGTGGAGCGGCTGGGCCCTTGAGCCATGGCCACTGAGCCTGTGCTCCGCAACGGGAGAGGCCACAATAGTGAGAGGCCCGCGTATCGCAAAAAAAAAAAAAAAGAGCAACAACACACACACACACACACACAAAACGCACTCTGGACAATCAGAGACCCATAACGGTGTTAACACTGTTTCAGTAACTTAAGTGGCACACACCATTTAAAGGAGGGTTGTCTCTTTCATGCAACACTCTGTAGTCTGTCTTGGTTTCCTCTTTGTTTCCAGATGCAGCTCCAAATTGAATACCTGGTACACTGCCTGGTGTAAATTAGATGCTCAGTAAAAGTTGTTGAGTGACTGAGTAAATGGTGCTTTCTCCTTCCCGGCAGCTGGCTAACCTAGCAATGTTTGAGAGGCAGCTGGATAATTCTGGGCCACGTGAGAATTCAGATTCATATTAAAAGAGATTGAAGACTGGGCGGGGTGCAGAGAGATCATTTCTCTAGAGAGCCCTTTTACTTGACGGACTCCTGAAAATTACGCTGTGTTGGTTTCTATGTGATGGCATGAAATCCACTCACCTAGTCAGATGTTAGAAAAAGGAAGGAAAGATATTCACAGAGACAGGGAATTGAGGAGCCCTCTTAGCCAAATCCCGTCTGACCAAAAACTCAGCCCTTAATATAAAGCAGAGTTTTCTGGAAATATTTTCATTCAGCCATGGAATCTTGTCATAGACATCAGTGAAATGATTCTTTGGTTGAAATGCAAACAGCAAGCAAAGATGCCTGATAACAACCACAGACAGAAATCTTTCTTTTGAATTAGAGCTTCTAAGTTTCAGACTTGAAACAATTTCTATATTATGGTGTGAAATAGACTAGTAAATTCTCAGTTATCCGTACATACTCCCAAACCTGAAGGGCTGACCAGTGTATATCTGACAGTGCTTTACAGTGTAAAATTAATCGCAGTTTATGGACTGTGTCCCAAAATGCAGATGTTCCATCTTTCTTTGACTTTTTAATACCATTGAACACAGCTATTTGTGGACAGTTCTTTCAACTTCTCTCGCATGGAGAAAATTCTTCATCTTCCATGCAAATTCTACCTACTCTTGCTTGAGGGTGTCCCCCTCATGTTACAAATCCTAATAGGGAAGGACAGGAACCCCAAGGTCAGCACACAATAGCGAGAAGAACGGAGAGATGTGTCTGAAATGGGACCCTGTAAGATATAGCTGTTGCCAAAGGATCTGTCATTTCAATCAAACAACCTGGGGCAATTTAGTCCTGAACCTCTAGCTCTGTTGCCATGGTTTCTAGACAAAGACGACAGGGCTGCATTCCAATTATATCCTTCAGAATGACAGATAACTGAGAAAGAGAAAATGGGGTAATAAAATCTCAGGTCACCCCGAAGAGAAGCGATAGATACAAGTGACAGAGAAATGAGAGGTTCAAGTTTATATTTGCCTTAGAAAATACCTTTGTGATTTAGAATGCAAATGTCCGTTCTGCAAACGCTCCAGACTTCCCACAGTACTTTTATCCACACCCAGTTTATTATTCTAAGCCGGGTATCTCCTGCTTACTACAGATTTTCTTTTTCTGTGTTTTCTTATTAAACAATTTTTAAGAAAAACTGAAGTATAGTTGATTTACAGTGTTTTAGGTGATTCAGTTATATATATATGTATTTTCAGATTCTTTTCTAATATAGGTTATTATAAGAAGTTGAATATAGTTCCCTGTGCTATACAGTAGGTCCTTGTTGTTTATCTATTTTATATATAGTAGTGTGTGTATGTTAACCCCAAATTCCGAATTTATCCCCCCCCTTACCCGTTTGGTAATTTGTTTTCTATGTCTGTGAGTCTATTTCTGTTTCATAAATAAGTTCATTTGTGTCATATTTTGGATTCCACATATAAGTGATATCCTATGGTATTTGTCTTTCTCTTTCTGACTGATTTCACTTAGTATGATGATCTCTATGTTCATCCATGTTGCTGCAAATAGCATCATTTCATTCTTTTTTATGGCTAATATTCCATTATATATATATATATATATATATATATATATGTACACATCTTCTTTATCCATTCATCTGCTGATAGACATTTAGGTTATCTCCATGTCTTGGCTATTGTAAATAGTGCTGCTATGAATATAGGTGTCCATGTATCTTTTCAAATTATAGTTTTGTTTGGATACGTGCCCAGGAGGGGGATTGCTGGATCATATGGAAACTCTATTTTTAGTTTTTTAAGGAACCTCCACACCCTCCATAGTGGCTGCATCAATTTACATTCCCACCAACAGTGTAAGAGGCTTCCCTTTTCTCCACATCCTCTCCAGCATTTATTATTTGTAGAATGTAGATATTCTTAATAGCATTTTAAAGTTAAAGAATTCGTCAATTAAGAGAATCTAACAAAAAAAATCTTGAACCATGAGAAGTAAAAAGCATTCTTTAACTTCTGATGATATTGCAAATAGAGCAGTGCCTATTTTCCTTTATTGCTGGAGTCAAATGCAGTATTCTGTTTTTCCAGTGGAAGGTATTACTGTAAACTTGCACCCAACTTTGGGCCATATCTGATAATCAGTAGTATTTTGCCAGGGTCAGTACAAAGTTTGCTGCTATGCTTTTAGGGTATAATGAAGATACTCACCTCTGTTCAGTGAGAGGAACCATTAGGTAGAGATCAAAAGGTTAACCGTGAACTCTGGAATGGTGTTGGTAGGTATGCCTTGAGTGAACAGACAATTTTAAATTTCTAAATTCTCTGCAATTAAGTAGAAGTGGAGCATTTTAATCCCTAAGTGACACTGGGTAGTTTAGTTAATCTTTAAAACTTAAAAAATTTAATCTAAAATTTTTAAAACTTTAAGTCTCAGTTTCTTCATCTATAAAATGGAATAATACCCACTTCTCTGAGTTGTGATTTTAAATTATATAAAGCATATAAAGCACTTGGCCTAGCATCTGTACATCACATACCGTTAAATAAATGGAGTAAATGTATGTATACAAAGTTTAAGAAAAAGGTAACGTAGATGTGAAATTAGGTGTGTTTCAGTGATGATAAAAAAAGCACTAATTTAATAAATAGTATTTCCAGGCTTATTGCCAGCAGTGAGATGGAAAATTCTAGATGTCCTGAAGCCTACAATCATGTCTCCTGAGTTTCCCTTTGGAATATTTATTTTATGACACTTTGGGGGCAACATACCGTTTCTATTAACACATAGAATGTAGTTGTTACAGTTAAATAAAAACCAGTTTTGTCTTTCTTTTATGCATAAGTTCAAAAAGTTTAGCTGGACTATTAAGTTTGACTTCTACTATACTCAGGATGCACTTTATTTTCTTACTAAGAATTGGTTTGATTTTATAATAGAGGTAATTAGGAAAGCTGATTTATTTAGTGAGATTTCTGTATGATAAATCTTGCAAGAATCACTGTATCTTCGATATGAGTAATGACAATGATAAAGGAAAAAAAATCCTTTTGCACAGTTTATTTTGGTTTGGTTATCTGGTCTTCACATGCTGTGGTAAATTTTTTTCATTTACAAACCTTGAACTTTGATATTCTATCATATACTTGCATATGTCCTATATGTATATGTATAATATATGAATGTATATATATGTAATAAAGTATAATTTTTGTGAGTACTTATGGTCAAAACGAGTGGAAACCTGGGCAATTTCAGATAAAAATAAACAAAAATCTCACTTATTTTGGAATTATATAAAGAATAGCTTTAATTTGTCATTCATGTTGTATTTATTTAATTTTTGTTTTACACTGGAGCATAGTTGATTAACAATGTTGTGTTAGTTTCGGGTGTACAGTAAAGTGATTCAGTGATACATAAACATGTATCTGTTCTTTTTCAAATTCTTTTCCCGTTTAGATTGTTACAGAGTTTAAAGTTACTTTTCTGTTATTGAAATTGTGGAATTGTGGTTACGAGCAAAAGGTGGAGTATTATTTCGAGAACAGACACCACGGGCTAAACCTCCAGTCATTCCGTTTCTTTGCCCTTCATGCCTCTGTCTGTCTGTTCTAGGTGCCTGAGCAGGAAGGCAGTACCAGCAGGGCAGTAGAAGGGCTGGCACACCACGGTTCCCCCCTGCAAGTGGGAGTTTGAATTCTTTCCCTTCCGTGTTTCTTTTATGGCGTGACTACGTCTCACGGAAACGTCAGAAGGAAGAGCAGCTTCTCTCATCCAGAAGCCGACGCGGGGAAACGGCGTGTCTATTTTCGTTGTCAGTTTGCAACGTAGGAGGTCACCGAGCGCGATGACGTCATTCCGTTCGCGTGGTGAAAGGGACGCCAGCCCGGCGTGAGAAGGGCGCTGGCGGCTTACCTTGAAGGAGATCTCATACTGCTCTCCGCCCCAGATCTCCAGACCTGCGTCGTAGCCCCCCAGCTCCCAAAACCATTTGCGATCCACGGCGAAGAGACCTCCAGCCATAACGGGAGACCTGTGAAAGGAATAAAATAACCTTTAAAGGGGTATGAACATCAGGGGCCGTGGCATTTTGCTTGGGGGGGGGGGGCGGAAAGAAGCAAACGTTAAGTCTCAGTGTTCACTGCAGGGGGGGCTTTTCGGTTTGGGCTTTCTGTGAGTGGACATGAGTTCGCACGAGGTCTCTGGTTGCTCCCGGAACCTCCTTGAGCTTTGAACTTCACAGTTCAGGCTCTAAAGCCACTAGTGCCCCGTGGAGCCACGCAGTGGCTCCATGTTTGTCATCAGAGAGGAGTACGTGACGACTAGTGTCTGATATGTTGGGAAAATCCATCCGTTCTATGGCTTTTCCTCAAAGAGATCTTAGGCTATCAGACAGACGAAAGTATAGAAAACGTGGTTGTAGACCATATCTTTGATTCAATCTCTCAGTATGTATTCAGCAAGCACCTAGTATTTCCAGGTCCTGTCCATTTCACAGACTACGAGATGGTCAGTTAGAATAAACCAACCAGCTATTAACGTGCCAAAGTTGGAATTTAAACTAGGTCTTTTCGCTTTAATTATGTACTTTTAAAAGTCTACCTTCTAGGAAATATTCTTTTTGATCAAATACTAACTTTTAGACTTTCTGCTGCCGCTAGGATATATTGCAGTCATGTTGCTATGTAATGAGATAATTTATAATGATTGGACCCTGCCTTAAAATTGTTTTGCAGTTCAAAGGCAGCTTTTGTGTTTTTATTACTATTATTATTACTTTGGCTGCACGGCATGCAGGGATCTTACTTCTCCGAACCTGTTCCCCCTGCAGTGGAAGGGCAGAGTCTTAACCATTGGACCACCAGGGAAGTCCACTCTTGTGATTTTGAATGTTCACTATGTGTTGGGCTCTCGGCTGAGAGCCTTGTCCAGTTGCCCTGATGAATCCTCACAGCAGCCCTGGGTATATCCTCCCTGTGTGCTATTGGGAGAAACAGGCAGAAAAAGGTAGGGCCCAGCGCCCAAGAGTGGCACCAGGATGCGGCGGTGCTGTGGCTGGACCAGGTCCCCCGATTTCAAAGCCTTTGAATTCTTTACTGCAACACCATTTCTGTTTCAATGTTTAGGAGGTGAAGAGAGACAACTACAGAAATATGGACATAAAACAGTTAGAGAACACCTGATGCAGACCAAGCAAATCTCTAAAAACACACTCGGTCAATATAGTTTTTGTGACCGTTTTTTGATCCCACAGGGCTTGGGCATAAGCAATCAGAAATAGGCAATCCTATTCAATCTGAACCACAAATAGAAAGATCTTAAGTCCGACCAATGTATTCTCATTTGATTGTGTACAGCATGAGACCAGAGTGCAACCGAATTTACACTGGGAAGAATGAATCTCCCAACTAGAATTATCGTAGATATAGACCTAGTCTAAATATCCGGCAAGAGAAAGTCCTAGATTGATTTTTTTAATTGTAAATAATTTGTTGGGAACACAATATCTTGTTTTCTTAATGAGTTTATAAAAAACTAACCATGGAGTATATTTTTAGTTAATTTGAGGCATAATAAAACAAATTCAAACAGGCCTCTTTACCTTCATTGATGTTTTTGCCAAGCTCCAGATAAATTAGCGCTTCCTGTTTTGACTAGTGTGAATGGCTGGTAAGAATCGAACCTTTTATTTGTTCGTGTATTTACTTATCTTTGTCCATTAATCTTCTGAACACCGTAATTGAGGTATAGTTGACATACAATGAATTGCAAATATTTTAAGTGGACAATCTGATAGATTTTGACTTATGAATATCCCTGTGCAGCCATCACCACATTCAAGAGAAAGGAACACATCTATCACCCCCACGAAGTTTCCTCATTGTAATCTCTCCCTCCTGACCCTCTCCTCATTCCCTTCCGCTTGGACATCACTGATCTCTGTCACTACACGTTAGTTTGCATTGTCGAGAATTTTCTATAAATGGAATCGTACAGTATGTGTTCTTCCTTGGGAGGGTCTGGCTTCTTTCATTCAGCATCATTATTCCGAGACCCACCCTTGTTGCAGCGTGTGTTAACAGTTTCTTCCTTTTTTATTGCTGAGTAGTATTCCATTTGCATGACTATACAACAGTTTGATTATCCATTCACCCACTGATGAACATTTGGGTTGTTTCCGGTTTGGGGTTATCACAAATAAAGCTGCTATGAGTTTTGTGTGCTAATCTCTGTGTGGACATATGCTTTCATTTCTCTTGAGGAAATGCCTAGGAGTGGAATGACTAAATCATATGGTAGGTGTGGGCTTAAACTTCTAAGAAACTGCAAAACTCTTTGCCAGAAAGGTTGTAACTTTATATTCCCGCCAGCAGTGTTTGAATTCCAACTGCTACCCGTCCTCAAATACTCGCTATGGGCAGTCTTTTGAAGTTTAGTCACTGTAACAGGGGCATAATGGTATTTATTGTGGCTTTATTTTGCATTTCCATAACGGTTAATGATGTTGAGCATATTTATGTTATTTCTCTCTTTTTTCCTAGTCAGTCTGGCTAGAGGTTTATCAGTATTATTGATCTGCTTAAGGAATTAGCTTTTGGTTTTATTGATTTTCTCTATTGTTCTTCAGTTTCATATTTCACTGATTTCTCCTTGGTCTTTATTAGTTTAATTATTCTACTTACTGTGTGTTTCATTTTCTCTTCTTTTTCTGGTTACTTAGGGTGGAAGCTGATATTACTGATTTGAGACTTTTTTTTTTTCTAATGTAGCTATTTAGTACTATAAATCTCCCTTAAGTACTGCTTTAGCAGAATCCTGTGAAAAATATGTGGTGTTCTCATCTTCATTATGTTCAAAATACTCCCAGTTTTCCCTTTTGTTTTCTTTTTGTGACCTATGGGTTATATAAAAATGTGTAATTTAATTTCTAACTATTTGGGAATTTTTGGAGATCTTTCTGTTATCGATTTTCATGTAATTCCATTGTGGTCAGAGAATACACTTTGTATGACTTAAATTCTTTTAAATTTATTGGGTTTTTTTTTGTGTGTGTGTGTGTGGTACACGGGCCTCTCACTGCTGTGGCCTCTCCCATTGCGGAGCACAGGCTCTGGACGCACAGGCTCAGCGGCCATGGCTCACGGGCCCAGCCGCTCCGCGGCATGTGGGATCTTCCCGGACTGGGGCACGAACCCGTGTCCCCTGCATCGGCAGGTGGACTCTCAACCACTGTGCCACCAGGGAAGCCCCAATTGGGATTTTTTAATGGCTCAGAACGTGGTCTATCAGAATGTATTCTGTTGCCATTGAGTAGAGCGGTCCATATATTCATTAGGTCAAGTTGGTTGATAGTGTTGTTCTATTCTTCTATATTCTTATTGATTTTCTGTCTCCTCATTGTATCAATTACTGAGAGGGATATTGAAATCTATGACTATAATTCTGGATTTGTTTATTTCTTTTTGCTTTTCTATCAGTTTTTTGCTTCATGCATTTTGTAGCTCTGTTAATAAATGCATAGATGTGTACGAATTTTATGTGCTCTTGATGAATTGACCTCATTCTCGTTTACAAAATGACCTTGATCATCTCTGCTAATAGTCTTTGCTCAGACATTGAATTTACTTGGCTCTTAATATAGCCGTTTCAGCTTTCTTTAGATTTGTACTATCTGAACACTACTATTTATACATTTTATATCTTTTTACTTTACTTTTTAAACTATCTGTGTCTGTATTTAAAGTGGTTTTCTTGTGGGCTGCTTATAGTTGCATCTTGCTGTTAAAAGTCTCTGCCTTTCATTGGGTTGTTGAGATCACTGTTCTTTTCTTTTTTAATAGATCTACTGGAGTATAATTGCTTCACAATACCGTGTTAGTTTCTGTTGTGCAGCAAAGTGAATCAGCCATATGCATACATATGTCCCCATATCCCCTCCCTCTTGAGCCTCCCTCCCTCCCTCCCTATCCCACCCCTCTGGGTCATCACAAAGCACCGAGCTGATCTCCCTGTGCTATGCGGCTGCTTCCCACTAGCCATCCATTTTACATTTGGTAGTGTATATATGTCGATGCTACTCTCACTTTGCCCCAGCTTCCCCCTGCCACCCCGGGTTGTTGAGATCACTTCCTTTTAATACTGTTATTCATGTAATCAGGTTCAAATCTGTAATCTGCTTTCTATTTGTCCCATCTATTGTTTCCTTTTCCTATCTTTTTGATTAATTGAATATTTTTCATGATTTCATTTAGTATCTTTTTTTGACTTAATGAAAACTCCTTGTTTTCCCTTTTTAGTGGTTGCTGTAGTGGTTTCTATCATACATCTTTATTTTTTATCAGTTTACCTTCCAGTGATATTTTATAAGAACCTTTTGATAAAATCCTTTTGTTTCTATTTCCCCTATGTTTGTACCTTGTGGGCTATACATTTTACTTTTACATATGTTATGAATCTCATATCATAATTATTTTTGTTTAAGCACTCAATTATCTTTTGAAAAGATTTAAATAATAAAATTATATATATATATATATATATATATATATATGAAATTATATTGTTATGAACACCATTTCTGTTTTCTTCATTCGTTTGTGTAGATTCAGATTTCTTTCCTTCTGCCTAAAGTACTTTCTTCAATATTCCGTGTAGTGGGAGTGTGTTGGTGATGAAGTCTTTGATTCTTTGCATGTCTACATTTTAAGAAAGATACTCTTGTTGGCTATAGAATACCAAGTTAACAGCTTTTTTCTTTTAATCCTCTAAAGATATTACTCACTGTCTTCTCACTGATATTGTTTCTCGTGAAACAATATTGTTACCTTTATCTCTGTTTTTCTGTACACAATGAGTCTTTTTTCCCTCTGGCTGCTTTTAAGATCTCTGTCATTGAATTTGAGCTATTTTATTATGATGTGACACATGATATATAGTTTTCTTGGTACAGTTTCTTGTGCTTAATAAGACTTGAGTGTCTTGGATTTGGAGGCATAGTTTTCATGAAATTTGGACAATTTTGGACCATTATTT